AAAATAAACTTGTAGTTATTGATATAAATGAGAAAATCTTATATAGGCTATTTATAATTTGTATGTAGTAGTAATGTTTTAAAATTTGAGTTTGTTAAAAATGAATTATATTTGAGGGATATTGTATTTCATAGAGAAAATGGTTGCATGCCCTGTAATGTGCATAGTATTTCATAGAGAAAATGGTAGCATGCCCTGTAATGTGCTTTTCAGATAATTTTAGGATAACTGGGAGGTGGCTTGCTTTGTATTTCATATAGGAAAGACAGGAAAGGGAAAAGATGATAGGAAAATCCTACGCAGATTTTAGAAATCCTTAATAGAACACAGTATGTCTACATTTTTAAAATGTTTCATTACCACTATTTGCTTTCCATCTACGGATTCTTGAGGAAAGATTAAATGTATTTTCCTCTTCTGTATTCACACATTTAAGAAATATTCATTGCATGTGTTTAGTGCCAAGGATACAGAGGTAAATGGCATAGACCCTGAATTCAAACAAGAAAACAAACAATTGAAATTTTGGTAGTGCTCCCATTAAAAATATGCCTAGTGGAGCTTGAGGCAGTGATGGTAGGGAGAGGGCATCTAAGCAGTCTGGGAGCATCAGGGAATATTTCCTGGAAGGAGTGACATTTGAGCGAATTTTAAGAAAAGAGTAAGACACAGTCTGAGTAAAGGGGATCAACAAAGGGCATAAGGTTGTGAATATGTGAGAAAGCATAGCGGATACAGGGACTTGCAAGAACTTCTCCAAAATCCCTTCATCATTAAACAGTTGTATAGATGTGTTCTTTCTCGAGTTAACACTAATAAACATTTAAACAAATGAGTTCTAGTTTTTGATCTGAAATATGCTTTGAAACTAACTTCCTTCATGTTAAACCTCTGCTATTTTTCTGGTTAATATTTAAAGACTTTTAAGCTTTGATAATTGAAACATTGATAGATGAATCACTCTGTTTGCAAATAGGTTTATGTACATATACATAGAAAATCTATAAGTCCTTTTTAATATTATTTGTAATACATATTCTTGCAGTTCCCTTTCCTTAAGTCAGTGATTGGGATAGGGGAAGCAGTTTGCATTGTCTCTCTTAGGCCAATACTCTGCATTGTCTGAAAACATGTTTGATTGTCACTATCTGGGGAGGTAGAGCCCCTGGGAAACAGTGGGTAGAGGCCATAAACATCCTATAGTGCACAGGACTGGTCCTCACTGTAAAGAATTATCTAGCTTAAAGTGTCAGTGGGTCAAGATGGAAAAGCTTTGCCTTAGGTGTAAAAATTGACTGTTTATCTCACAGACTTTCAGATGAAAAGCCATTCATCAGACTAGGACTTCTGGGAATTAGGGAGAAATACTTAAGTCTGAACAAGTAAATGTGCCTGCCAAAGTAAATAGCCCCAGGCAATTTCCAGGCACAAGTAGAAATAAACATCTTTACATGGTGTGAATTTTTGGGTTATATCACTATGGATGGTTATTAAATTGTTGACTTACTTTCCTTGTATACTAATGAAATAGTTTGTGGTAATACTGGTACATTTTTCTAGGTTGTGCTTACTTTGATGAAAAAAGCAGAAAAGAAAGGAAGGCCTTTACATGAACTAAATGTCCTCCAGCTTGGAGTGGAAGCTAGAGTTAAAACCTATGACCTAACTGCTAAAGCTTATCTAAAAAAAATTAGTATGCGATGCTTTGAGTTTACTGGTAAGTGTGAAGTATAGTCTGTGTAAATTATCCATGGAATAGCCAGATGGTCCCTACCTTTTTATCAACATTAAGCATATTTATTAGTGTCACCATAACTGTTTAGTTTAAATTTATTATATTGATACAAAGGAATGTGATATTTAAAAATAAATTATCCATGTAGTTATCATAAATAAGATTATATCTAGATAGATGTCTACATTTAGCTAGAGTAGAATATATCTAAAAGAAAAATGAAACATTTGTCTTCAGTGTCTGTACATAACATTTCCGTAGTACTTGTAAAAGGCAGGAGTTCATTATAATTATGCTATGGGAGCTGATATATTAGAAAATCAGGAACCAAGTACAATACCCAAGTATAGAGCCCAGGGATCCTTTTTGAAAAGCTAAGTTTAGGAAATAACTTTCTATTTGTTTCTTTCTTTATTTTAAAATTATATCAGTGTTTTTAATTTATTTTTAATGAAATTAGCATATGGGATGGGCAAAAGTAGATTTTCAGTTTTCCATATGGGAAAAGACATGCTGGTTATGATTATTACAATAGGTTTATTAACTAACACTATGTTTTGCATATTCACATCTGTAAACCTACTTTTGTACACTCCTGTGTATATGTAAAAATAAAAATTAAATAATACACAAATATATAGAAGAAAAACTTAACATCACTATGTAGCCTCACTCCCTAAAGTGAGAATTTTGTTCACTATGATTATTAGGCATAGCATTGATGGAAACATGAAACATTTGAATTATATATTGGTTTTAGGATTAGAATAAATTGAAGGACAAGAGTGACAGCATGGCTCAGTATAGACATTGTCACAGTCCATTTAGTGTTAATAGTCTTAGAACCCATATGTAATGTGACCGAAAAATAAGAGGATATATAATTATTAGTTTCTGAGAAAATGTCAAAACATGGTAATCATCTGATTTAAAATGAGATAAATGAGGAAGGAAATATTAAAATATTATGTATTACTTAGCTTCCTTAAAGCCAGGATGTTAAAAAATCATAAAATTTGTTTTGGGTATAAATAAAATATTAAAATAAAAACAATACTGTTATTCTTTAATGATAACCTCGACCTTTCAGATTCACTTTCTAAAGTGGATCAAGCCAACTTTTAAAGTTGCTATGGGTGTTTAAAGTTTATAGAACTTCTGTGGGTTAACTTGAAGTAAAGCAAATTTATATTGAGAATAACCCCTAGTTTATATATTTTTTAGCTTTATTCTTTAATATATTCTGATTTGTTCAGAGTAACTCCAGTACTGCCAAATGTTAACAGCATTTTAATTAGCTGGTACTGGTTTTCTGTTTTTATGGACTTTCTTATATAACCCAGATTTATTGATGTATGATTTATATACAGTAAAATTCACCATTTTAATGTATAGCTCTGTGAGCTTTAGCAAACATATATTTGTGTAACTGGCTGATCTGTTTGAACATATGTTTGAAATGTTAAAAAGACTTAATGGATTTATTCCCTCCTTTTCTCTTTTAGACTCTAAAGGAGAACCTCTTCATATTATTAACTCTTCTAATGTAACTGATGAACCCCTTCTGAAAATGTTATTGACAAAGGTATCTAGTTTCATTTCTAGGATTTTTTAATATGTGAACGTATGTAATTCTCCCCATAGTTAATATTTCAATTTTCTCCCTTAAATATTTTTATTCTAAAACTGGTTGATTATAGTAGATTATGCAAACATCTGACTATCCTGGAAATCTCAGTTATCTTCGGAGTTAACCCTATGTTTTGGAATAAGTGAGAGCATATAAAGTTCCATTTTCATTCAAAGCAAAATCTGTTGTAATCTGGATATACTAATATTTTCCCCTACCTGTAGCATTGGAGTTTTTGCTTCTGCAGAGTTTGAGAAATGCTTATGTGGTCAATTTTTTTTGGCATGCTCTTCTGTGCCTTTAAGAAATATGCTTATAGTATTTTCATAGCATACAGTATTTTGAAAAGTAAGTAATATATATAAATGTTAGTGTTTGCAACTCAGTGGTTTAATCCTCCACTATTTGTAGGCAGACTGTGATGGACCGGAATTTAAAACCATTCATGACAATACCAAACAGAGACTGAAGGTAAATCTTTTTAAATTCACTATAAGGTGGGTTATATTAATGGGTAAATCTAGTTTCATAGCCATCTTTAGTTGTGAGATTGTAAATTCTAAAATGAACTTAAGGTTGGCAATAATAATAGCTCTAATCTTATAGATAAGAGAATTGCATATAGAGTTTAAATAAAATGTTTAAAGAGAGTTGATTTGATTTTCTACAAGATTGTTTCCCAGATATGAATTAATCATTACTTGTTGAGTACACAAATAATACATTTTTAAGGGAATTTTGTTCCCTTAAAAATGGTTATTTGGCATAGTATTGATAGGAGTGTGACACATTTGAATTATGTATGGTTTTGGGATTAAAATAAATGTAAGAACCAGGCTAATGGCATGGCTCAGTGTAGACATTGTTGACAGTCCATGTAGTATTGGTCTGTCTTGGAACCCATATGTAACGTGACTGACCTAAGTATGGCCTGATAATACTTCCTATATCTTTTCTTAAAACCCATCAAGTTCTGTTGAGGTTAGAATTATGGTAAAGGTTGAATTTATAATAATGAGTTCTTTTTTTTTTAAGCCCTTAATGGAATGATTTTGTGCTACTTGTGTATGTGGAAGTAGAAGTGTAACATAAAAATGTTACCATATCTGACACCTGCCTCTCTAATTGTTTGTTATCTTAGGTTTCATTTTCATCCTTAGACTTAGTACTTCATTTGGAAGCTTTATTATCCCTCATGGGTTTTTTATCATCTGCTGTTCCATCCTCTGAACCTTCTGAAAAGGAATCTGAACTGAAGCCACTTGTGGGGGAGTCCAGAAGTCTCATTGTCAAAGCTGGTATTAGCTTTTGAGTCATGGTCTAATACTTTCTGTCTGAACTTTAATAATCATATAATAACTTGTATCTTCAAGCTAAGATAAATATTTAGCACCTTACTATTATAGTTGCTATGACAGATTAGGTTAGTTTCAAAAGAAAGCGAATTTTATCCTCTATATATGTTTGCATCGATGTCTCTGCAGTATTCATACCAATGAAAGGGAAAAAGGAAGAAATTAAAAAACAAATACAATCATGCATAGTAACAAAAGTCCATTTCAGTCCATCGAGTAAACCTACCTGGTGCTCAACAACTTTAGGTGCTTTTCTAAGACACAAAAGGAAGAATCTAATGGAAGAGACAGACCCACTTTGGTTTCTATGCAAACTGTATTTAAATCACATACTTATATGGGTACATGTTCCTCAAACATATGATTTATGCTATTAAATATTAAATATTTATATCCTGAGTGAACAAGTGCCTATTTTTAAGCAAGTATCATTTTAATTAATTTTCTTCCCTATCATGTGATATGGCTATCTAACATCTAGCAATGTACTTTCAGACCATTACCAATTTGAGTTATATTAATCTTACTGGCATCTTTCAAGTGTAAAGGATCAGATTTTTTTAAACTAGGGAACAGAGCAATAATTTTACTGTAAACTAGACTAAAAGAGTTTTACTTTTGTTGTAATATACTTGTTACGTTAACATTTGTGGAAATACTTATATAAGATAGACACACTGTTGAATAAATGAAAAAGCAATGTTTAAGTTCACAATAAACTATAAAAAATTTAATTAAAAAATAATCTTCCTGTTATGCTGTATGTTTGATTTTTAAGGTTTGATTATGCTACTTTAAATCTTAAGGGGAAAAACACCATTATTATCGTGGTGGTTTAGGACTGCTGTCCTCATGCTTTTACTTATAGGAAAAGGTCTGTTTCCCTCAAGCAAGACGGAGCTCTAGGAAAATATATCCTGAATTCCTTAATCAGGACCTGGACTCAAGTTGGTTAAGGGAATCCATTTGATTGTATACATACAAACACACACATTATAAAACTGTTTCTGGTATTTTTTTAAACTTCAGCCCTTTGTGTTCATTTTTCATAGAATTCATTTTAGGATTTTTCATAGAGAAACAGGATACAATCTAGAGAAATCGATTCTATAGTTAATAACATGTAGGTGCCAGAGTTAATCAAATGTATTTTATCACCTATTTATTACTCTTTTAGTTTTTTATGAAATATTCTTCCTTCATCTAATATATGATATTAAAAGGAATTCAAAAATCAATTAGCTTCAGTAGCATTCTAGAATTTTAACATAGAGGGTTTTTCCCCCCCAGAAAAAAATTATAGTAAAGTTTCCATTTATCAAATAGTACTTTTAAGGCACTATTAAAGGCTATCTTTATTCTTAATTTGGAGGAGAATATGCTAGCTTTTGTCTCATGGACATTTGAAAATTGATTCAAAATCCATATTAATTTTATATAATCTTAATAAAGGCCTTTTTGGTTCTTCATAGTTCATAATGTACTTTTATTTTAGTGAATTTGAGACTATTTTGCATCTTTTTATGTCAACTTTGCACTTTGCTGATGATAAGGTTTCTATTACTTTTCAGTGTCCAGTAATACTTCTCAAGATGATGTGTTTGACTTAAAGATCATGGCTGAATTAAATTCATTTAATGTCTTTGTCTGTGATCAGAAGTGTAGCATTGCAGATATTAGAATACATGGTAAGTAATGATTCCTTGGTGTATGTATTTCTGTTTTCTTACATAGATCTCCAGGAAGAATGAATGTGTGCATGGTACATTTCTCATGAGTCATCTTTTGATTTACTTGCATTGAAGACTCATGCAAACTTTTCAGAGTTGTACTTTGAAATGTTAGAAGTAAATTTGTTATGATTCATGGCTGACACAACACATTCCCATGTATTTTAAAACTTTCAGGATAAGTCTAAGGCTTAACCTCCTATATTTGCATTTTTCAGAATAATATAACTTTAAACTGTGAATATGTATTATGATAATATCTCACTGGGCAAACAAAATGTCATTATCCTTATTGTTGTATTTTGTGCTTACGTAGCATCAAGAGTAGACGTTTTTTAAAGAAATTTTATAACCTTTACCCTCCATCTTCTTAATATAAGGATGAGTTCAGATTATTCCATGGGTTCTGGAGTCAACTTGCCAAGGTTCAGTTTTGACTCTAACACTTACTGGCTAATCTTGAGCAAATTAATCTTTCTATGCCCAATATCCAATTTCTATAAAATGGAGATAATTATTCATGACCTTGTTGTGAGGATTAGGTTTACACACTTATATATATTTAGAAAAGTGCCTGGTACATCATAAGCAATTAAAAAAGGTTAAAAATCTGTTTTGTTAAACAAATATTTTATTATCTGTCTTATCGTTGGTATGTTTTATGGTTTGGTTGAATACTCGGTCTTAGCTTCAGGCATTCTTCCTGTAGGAGCTGTTTCAGAAATCATTATGCCTTTAGAAATTATGAGAATGACAACAATTCTTTTGGAGAGAAATCTTACAAGATTGCATTTTAGATACAGTTTATTATAGAAAGAATAGGACTTATTCATCAAATTGTACTTATGCTTAATTATCAGAGCAATAGTTTTCATAATGTAATGTTTATGAAATGGCTATGTAACAAACATTTTGTGTCTTTCTAAATGACTACTTCTGATCTTGCCAATGCACAGAATATTTTGTGTTTGGAAATCTGTAATTAATTTTCCTTGAAAAAAGATTTTTTTTTTTAATTTCCACTTTTATTTATGACTTACCTGTAACACTTAAGGATATAATCTTCCTTGGTATCTCATACATAGAAGTTGATACTTTTAGTTTGTTTACCAGTAAGTAATTTTTATTCATTCTGTATCTTTGTAGTATATTACTGAACTTAAGTACCACGTAGTTGGTTCCCTTGGATTAGGTGAAAAGTTTGTAAATGTAATGTTTCCCATAGGAATGGATGCCTCCATTTCTGTGAAGCCAAAGCAAACTGACATGTTTGCCAGACTTCAAGATATCATTGTCACCAATGTAGATTTGATGTCTATTCACAAAAAGGTAATTTTTTTTTTAAAAGCTTCTATATTGAAATTTATTTTTACCTTTAGTTTTGAGGTGACTTTATCTATTTGTTCTATATATACTTAGCGTCTGTCATGTGGTAGGTACTTGTTAAGGATTGGACATGAATGTAGTCATAGCCTACTTTCACAGTGTGTATGGGATAAGTGATTCGTAAAAGTTTTTTTCTGACCAATTAAGTGCTTGATCTCTACATTGATAAAATAATTTTTATAGATATAGGAAAAATTATTGTCAAATAAGTGTTTAATAATTTGTTGAAAGTTTATTTTGATGGTGCTTCTTCACATGTCACAGATTCTTTAATAATGTAACTTATTTATAATACAGATATTTTGATGTAGTAACCAGTTAATTTAATATTTTTAGGCTGTCTCTATTTTGGGAGATGAAGTCTTTAGGTTCCAAATGACTCTTTATCCAGATGCCACAGAAGGAAAGGCCTATGCCGATATGTCTAAAGTAGATGGCAAACTTAGTCTCAAAGTGGGCTGTATTCAAATTGTTTATGTTCATAAATTCTTCATGTCTCTTCTGGTAAGTTTATTTTTAAATATATTTATCTCTCACTGAGGCCCAAATATCTTTGCCTATGTATCTGAACCTAGATAGTTAAAATTTTTACTAAACGGGTTGTGGGTAAACACCCAAATGCTGAACAAAACATTATAGTTAAGGAAATCATCTACATAATGGATAACCAAATGAATTTTTGTCATCATTGTTTTGAACATGTAAACTATTATGCTTTAACATTTTCATAGTTAATATATTTTAAAAGTACTTAAAAAGCATTTAGGGCTTTTCAGTGTTATTTGTTTTATGAAATACCCTTAAAAGTATTGAGGTAAAAAGAATTTTTTAAGGAAATCAGTAGGCATTTGAAGGACTAATATTGGAACTTAACAGCTTTTAATTATAATTGTGATCAATAAGGCCATAAAATTCTTTTTTAAAAGTTATTTATTTCCATGTAAGTATTCTGGGCTAAATTTGCCTATGCCTCTTAGCAGGGATAAAATTCTAAGCTTACAAGTCATAGATTTCTACTTAAACCGTCATATTTTATTTTGTTATTATTTTTTCTTACGGGGAGAAAAAACGACAAGGGGAGGAGAGGGCCATGTTTCATTTTTCAGGGAAGTAATTTATTTGGCATGAGGGGAGTTTAGGTTGCTTTGTATTATTAATGGATGAGCGTCAGGAGTATTATTTCTAAGAATGATCTTTATTTGGAAAAATCTTTGTTTTTAGTTAAAATTGAGGTAAAATCCATCTTACTCTAAATAAAGAAGTTTTGATTCTTATTAATGATAGCAAGGTTGTAGACATTTAAGCATCTTATGCCTGAGTATACTTTTAAAAAATCTTCAGAAATAAACTGGCAAAACCATAGTTTCTAAGAATAACTTTATTCCTGTGAATTAGAGAAATAGATTTGAACTTAATTTGGGAGAAGTAAAGTCCTCTCCTCCATTTTTTAATTTAAATTTGAATTTAAAATAACTAACGTTCATGGGTAAAAAGGAGATTAAAAAAAATTGTTACTTGAAACCTGTCTGACTTGGTAAACCAATGTCATTCCAATAAATTAAATAAAAAATTGTTACCAAAATTTGTCATAAGAACCAAATAATTCTGAAATATAAAAAATGAAAGTTAAAGGACTCTTCTTTCCTAGAAGTAATTATTATTAATATTTAGGAGTGTATCTTTCTAGATTTTACTCTCTCCATAAGCCCAATAATAAATAACATCTCTTATATTACCTTTTACTTAATTTTTAAAGTAAATAATTTCTAAAGTTTTTCCTTTTTAAATAAATGTTGTTTGGGGGAACTCTAAATACAGTCTCTTCCAACAGAACTTTCTCAACAATTTCCAAACTGCCAAAGAAGCTTTGAGTGCAGCCACGGTACAGGCTGCAGAAAGAGCTGCTTCTAGCATGAAAGACTTGGCTCAGAAGAGTTTCCGCCTTTTGATGGATATCAATTTGAAAGCACCAGTTATTATCATTCCTCAGTCTTCAGTATCACCTAATGCTGTGATAGCCGACCTGGGTTTAATCAGAGTGGAAAACAAATTTAGCTTAGTTCCTATGGAACATTCTTCTCTTCCCCCAGTGATTGACAAAATGAACATCCAACTCACTCAGTTGAAACTCTCCAGGTATAAATATAGAATCAAATTGTATGTTACTTAGTATAAATAGAATTTTCATTGACTCCTTCCAGGGGTAAAATACTCTAGTGATTTGTGGTTCTCCTTATTTTTTCTAATTATGAAACCTTGTATTTGGTCAGTGGTTAGTAGCAGAGTACGTTATAGTACAGTATCTGCATTTTGTCTTACTAAATTTATGATGTGATTTTTTTGATTCTATAAACATTTCCTGTTACAAATTACAGTTTACCCAATAATAGTTTAGATTTATTTTTTGTACATAGCTATTTTCTGTAGATGAGAGAAAGCTGCTTAAAATGCAATAAAATTTAAGATTTATTTCTTATTTCTAAACCATATCACACTTGAGAATTCTCCCTGAGGTTTATAAAGGATTATTGAATATAAATCGGAAAGGGTTGGCTCTGTTAAATGACAGGAGTACTTACTTACTTGTGCAACTGGTTGTTGGTAGACAAACTAGAAATTACTGTTACCATATGTTTGCTTTACTTCTGGGTTTGATGAGTTTTTCGCTTTAATTTGGAAAGTACCAATAATGTAAAACTAAGGGCTAAGTAGACTACCACTTTCTTTGTCCTCCATTTTTGAGGAGAATGTAACATTTATTTTTAAGACATTGCACTGTTTGCTATTATTAAATAGTTCTTGTGAAGATAGTTAATAATGAAATAATCATACTTCGTGAAATTCGTGTCTTTGAAGTCAGCATCGGCTTTGTTTTAGAGAACTCTGCATGTAACCTTGATTTATTCTGATTTGACTGATCTGTGAAAAAAAGTATGTTCTAAAAGAATTCTGGTAGCAGCCCTTATTAAGGAAAATGTTGTGTGGAAACTTAAATAATTTGATAGTCTTCATTTTAAAATATAGATTTCAAAAATACAAAATAAATTCTTGTTTATCTTTCAGAACTATCTTGCAGGCTGACTTACCACAATATGACATTGAAATTTTAAAACCAGTCAACATGCTTTTGTCTATACAGCGAAATTTAGCAGCAACATGGTATGTGCAAATTCCAGGGATGGAGATTAAAGGAAAACTGAAACCTATGCAGGTAAGTGTGTGTGTGTGTGTGTGTGTGTGTGTGTGTGTGTGTAAGAAAATTGCCCTGGCCAGTGTAGCTCTGTGGTTAGAGTGTCAGACCTTGAATCAGAGGGTCGAGGGTTTGATTCCTAGTCAAGCACAAGTACCTGGGTTGCAGGTTTGCTCCCTGCTCCTGGTTGGGAAGCCTGCGGGAGGCAATCAGTTGATGTGTTATCTATCTCACATTGATGTTTCTCTGTGTCTCTCCCTCTCCCTCCCTCCTTTCACTCTCTCTGAAAAACAATGGAAAAAATAGCCTCAGTGGAAAAAATAAATAAAAAGAAAGAAAAGAAAATTGCCCTGCCTGGGTGGCTTACTTGGTTCGAGTGTCGTCCCATACACCAAAAGAAAAGTTGGGGGTTCAATCCCTGATCGATGCACATAAGGCAGACAACCGGTCAATGTTTTACTCTCACATTGATGTTTTTCTCTTTCTCTCTCTCTCCCTCTCACTTCCTCTTCTAAAATCAATAAAAAAACATATCTCCTGGTTAGGCTTAATATATATATGTATATGAAAATTGCTAGCTAGGCACAGTTCTAGTGCACATCAGAAGAGATGATACCATAAAAGGGAACACTTTAACTGCAAATGAAGTCATTCTAGTTTCCTACACTTTTCTGTATTTCATTTTAGTCAAATATTTGGTAAAACCAGTAAAAAGACTGAGATAAAACCTGTTGGAGTCCACTGAAAATATTATTAGTAATTTTGGAAAATTCTAATAAAGTTTTAAGGAAGTTAAATTATAAGAGTATAAAGTGAGATTTAGATACTATATTCAAAGCACATTAGTAGTATTTTATAAAATCACTCTTAATGATAAAAATGGTCATTTAAAATAAGTGAATGTGTTTAAGAACACATTAATAAATAGAGCAGTTTTTCTTAAAGGGTAGTTAGAATGTCATGTATAGGTTCACAGGGAAGGATGACACTGGTGAAGATGGTCGTACAAGTGTAGGCATCTTACGTTTCTCGTGTGCCTGTGTGTGAAATTGTTGAAGCCCAATAGTAGGGGACAAGGTACTGGAGAGAGTAATTAAATGAATAGAGTGTGTGAACAACAAATAAAAATTGAGTAATTCAGTGATTTTTGATATCTGTGATTATTTCAGAGTTAGTTCTAAGATAAAATAGAAAGGGTCAAAGAAGCTGAGTTCCACTAGGGAAGAAGTTAAAATTGAAATTTGTTGTAGGAATGTCCCTATGTGTAGTATGAGCAGATACATTATATGAGGAACAATGTCTGTTTAGGGTATTCATAGAGAATTCTCTATTCCAGAGTATGGGACAACTCTTAATTTCTCCCTTACTATTAAGACATTAGATCTTAGGACTAATATTTGTCCCATTTCACATTCTTTGAAAGATTGAAGCAAAATAAAACCTAAATGTCTCTATCAGTTAGAGGATGTGGATCAAATTATGACATAGTCAGACACTATAAAGTAGATAAAGTGAAGGAGCTATAACTGTACAAAGCAAAATGGGTATATCTTAAACATAAAAATGAAAAAAATAAGTTGCAGAATGATAGTGCATTTCTATATCATTTCAAATTTTACAACAAGCAAGCCAATGGACAGTGCTGTATATTGTTTATAGTGGGAAATGTAAGAAAGCATGTGTGGAAAGAATAATTCTCTAATTCAGGATAGTGTTTTTCTTTGAGGAGGAAAGAAGGGAATGAGGTCTCAGAAAAGTAAACATGGGGCTTCAACCATATCCATTATGGGGAAAAAGATCTGAATCAAATATAGGAATTTGTTAAGATTTGACTCAGGTTTGTACTCTGGGGAGGATTATAGTATTCTCCATGTTTTTCCTGTATGTTTTACATATTTCAAAAGAAAACAAGAAAGTATCACCAGTTAAGCATCAAAGAATGGTTATTACTTTAACTAAAAAAAGTGCAGCCTAGTGAGTATGGTCTCCATTGCCTAATTTGACAGAGATCCAGGCCTCTTTAAACAGCCCTTCCTTGGTCAGGATGTGTATTAATTTTCTTGGGTCCAGAGTACATCTAAGAAAGGGTGTCAGGCAGGTGACACCAGAAGTTGTTTTGAGTCCATCAGCTTGACAGGTCTTTAAGAACTGAGTGGCTGCCTCCTAAATGACGTACAGACTTAGTGAATATCACTCTATGTATATGATACGGTTGCTCTTTTTTTTTTTTTCCCTGAACTGTTGTACATGTGTAAAGGTTTCTCACCACTTCTTAGGAGGTTGTTATAATAACCTGGACTCCTAGTCTAGAATGATCACAGAAAAAATGGAAAAGAAGGAATTGTGTTTACAAGTTTAGAGTGTAGATTGCTGTGGAAGGTGCTGGGCTTTAAATGTCAATGGAACAATGGTTGCTCTTTTCACCCACAGGAAACCAAAGGTGTGGTGAAGTTAGCTGCTCTTCAGGCAGTTGTGATATTGTGGTTGGTATCACAAGAGGAGATGAATACACAAGGAAGTTCTAGGCTGTTACAGAGACGTCTGTTATCTGAGGACGGGGGCTTGTGACAAACAGTAATCCCTAGTTATTATCTCATGCTAAAATACCTCCCCACTTTTATTTAGACTGAGAATCAGGCAGTTTCTCTGGCAGTAGTGGCCTAATTTGAGGGACAAAGGATACTGTGGTATTCAGAGGAGAAAATGTCATGAATGCATGCATGCTTGTCTGAATATGTGTTTATACTTGAAACAGGCCTATTGAATCATTCTGTGTGTAAAGAAAACGTACAAAAGATGGAAGGATTAAAAGGTTTAATGGATCTTAGCAGCTAAGGCAGCTTCATTTGTTCTGTTTCATTTTCTGTAGCCATCGATGGGGAAGAGGATATTATTCTTATTTTAAAAATTAAGAAACTTGAATTAAGGAAGCTGAGTTGGCCAACAACACAGCTTGAAAGTGGTAGACTTGATACTGATCTGCCGGACTTAAAAGCTCTTGCTTTCTTTTTTTCCTTTCTGTCATATAAAGTTAGGAGATGAGCAAAATACTCCTTTCCTGGTTTGTGTTTTGTCTTTTAAAAGTACTTTGTAGATGTGTTTTAGAAGAATGACAAATGTATTATTCTTGACAACTTAAACAAATGTTTTATATATGTCCAGATGCATATGTACTGAGAATAAGTGCTCCTACATTATAGGAGATCATTTTTTAAATTAATTAATTAATTAATTTTTTTACTTCTTGGAAGAGTCCAGAAACTGAACAGTACTTTCCCTGTATTGAGTTTGGAGGGGGGTAAATAATAATGCGGAAGAAGGAACTGATACTGGGTGAGAAGAGAGAAAGACAGACTAAAGATGAGGAGCTAAGGAGAGGGGAGAGAGGTACAAGTCCAGGAATGAGACGAGACAAAATAACAGATAGGCAGAAGAATGATGGCGTGCCAGAGGCAGGAGCTTGGATACAGGTGGAGGCAGAAGTGTGTTCACACACAGGAGGGAAGTCTTATACTATACAAGATGAAATACTTCTCTCCTGGTACCCTTTTTAAAAAAATTAAATTTATTGGGGTGACATTGGTTGATAAGATAATATAGGTTTCAGGTGTACAGTTCAGTGGTACATCATCTACATATTGCATTGTGTCCCCCACTCAAAGTCAAATCTTCCATCACCATATATTTGACCTTCCTTAGGCTCTACTACTCCCACCCGCTTCCCTCTGGTAATCACCATACTGTTGTCTCGGTCTATGCGTTTTTGTTTATTTTTCTTTATTTTTTTAACTTCTTTTTCTTGTTTGTTCATTTTTTGCTTTCAGTTTTATATATCACATATGAGTGAAATTACATGGTTTTTAACTTTTTCTGTCTGACTTACTTCACTTAGCATGATATTCTCAGGATCCATTCATGCTGTCGCAAATGTCAGTATTTGGTCATTTCTCATATCTGAGTAGTATTCCACTGATATATATGTATCTTTATCCAGTCCTCTAGCGAAGGACACTCAGTTGTTTCCATGTATTGGCCACCATTAATAATACTGCAGTGAACATAGGCATGCATACATCTTTGTGAATAAATGTTTTCAAGTAGATACCCAGAAGAGGGCTTTCTGGGTCATATAGTAACTCTATTCTTAATGTTTTGAGGAGCTTCCATACTGTTTTCCATAGTAGCTGTAACAGTTTACATTCTTACCAGAATGTAAGGGTGTGAGGGTTCCTTCTCCTCCACAACCTCTCCTACACTTGTCATAACTTGTCTTATTGATAATATTCATTCTAACAGGTGTGAGGTGGTATCTCATTGTAGTTTTGATTTGCATTTCTCTAGTGGCTAGTGAAATTGAGCATCTTTTCATATATCTGTTAGCCATTTGTATGTCTTAGGAGAAGTGTCTATTTTGGTCCTTTGCCCATTTTTTTGATTGGATTGTTTATCTTCCTTTTGTTAAGTTGTATAAATTCTCTGTAAATTTTGGAGATTAAACCTTTACCTGAAATAGCATTGGCAAATATGTTCTCCCATGCAGTGCAAATCACTGTACTATTGTCTGTGTCCGTGAGTCTTTCTTTTTTTCTTATCCCTTGAATACCATGCTGTTTTGATTATTACAGTTTGTAGTATAATTTGAAGTCAGAGAGTGTGATAACTCTGGCTTTGTTCTTTTCTCTCAGGATTGCTTTAGCTATTCTGGGTCTTTTGTGATTCTATATAAATCTGATATGTTTTTTGTTCTATTTTTTTTAAAAAACATCATTGGGATTTTGAAGGAAATTCCATTAAATCTTTATATTGCTTTTAGTAATATGGCTATGTTGATTTTTCCAATCCATTAACGTGGAATACCTTCCTATTGCTTTGTGTCTTTTTCAATCTCTTTTAATAATGCTTTGTAGTTTGCAGTATAAAGGTCATTCACATCCTTTGTTAAGTTTATTTCTAGGTATTGTATTCTTTTTGTTGCAATTGCAAAAGGAATTTTTTAAATTTATTTTTCTGAAATTTCATCATTACTATATTGTAATGCATTGGGTTATTGTACATTGACTTTGTATTCTGTAATGTTACTGTACTTTTTTATTGTTTTTAATAGTTTTTTGGTTGAGTCGTTAGGGTTTTCTATATAAAGAATCATGTCATCTGCACAAAGTGACAATTTTACTTCTTCATTTCCAATTTGGATTTCTTTTGTTTTTTTCTCTTACCTGTTTGCTCTTGCTAGGTCTTCCAGTACTATGATGAATAACAGTGGTGAGAGTGGGCATCCTTGTCTTGTTCCTGATCTTAGAGGAAAAGCTTTCAGTGTTTCACCACTGAGTATCATATTAGCTGAGGGTTTGTCATATATGGTCTGTATTTTGTTGAGGTACTTTAAATGTAAATTGACTAAAATGGCACAGAATAGCAGATTGGATCAAAAAACCAAACCCAACCATGTGCTGTCTTCAGGAGACACCTCTAAGCTGATAAGGCAAATATCGACTCAAAGTGAAAGGGTGGAAAACCATTCTCCAAGTAAATGGCATCCATAGAAAAGCAGGTATAGCCATACTTATACGTAACAAAATAGATTTCAGGATAAAAAAGGCAAGAAGAACCCTGGCTGGTGTGGCTCAGTTGGATGGGCATCATCCTGTTCACCAAAGTGTTGCTGAGTTGATTCCCAGTCAGGACATGTGCCAGGGTGGTGGGCTCGGTCCATTGTGGGGGGCATGCGGGAAGCAGCCAGCAGATGTTTCCATCGATGTTTCTCTCTCTCTTTCCCTCCCCCTTTCTCTCTCTAAAAATCAATAAAAAATAAACCCTCCCCCTCTCTCTCTAAAAATCAATAAAAAATAAAAAACCTTAAAAAAAGGTAACAAGAGGCAACGGTGGTCATTTTATAATGATAAAGGGCACTACATCAAAAAGACATCATACTCTAATATATGTGCTCCAGTCGGGGAGCACTGAAATGTATAAAGCAACTACTAACAGAACGAAAGGGAGAAAGTGACAAAAACACAATCACAGTAGGGGACTTAGATACCCCATTGACAACTATAGATAGGTCATCCAAACAGAAAAGCAATAAAGAAATAGCCTTAAATGACACATTAGACCAAATGGACATAATTGACATTTACAGAGCCTTTCATTCCAGAACACCAGGTTATACATTCTTCTCTGGTGCACGTGGAATATTCTCAAGGGTAGACCATATGTTTGGACACAAAACTAGCCTCAACAGATTTAAGATAATTAAAATTATACCAAGCATATTCTCTGACTGCAGTGCTTTGAAATTTGAAATTAACTGCAAAAAGGAAGCAAAAAAATCCCACAATACTATGTGGAGAATAAGCTAACTTTGTTTTTTAAAGTTAGATGAACAGTCAGTTAATTTGAGGAACCATAAATTAAGACATAGATATGATATTCTGCATTTTTTATTACTTTATATTTATAACAACTTATTTTTGGTTTCTAGGTTGCTCTCAGTGAAGATGATTTAACAGTTTTAATGAAAATTTTGCTGGAAAATCTTGGGGAAGCTTCTTCACAGCCAAGCCCTACACAGTCTACCCAGGAGGCTGTAAGAGTAAGAAAAGATGTTTTGAGTGGACCTGACCACCTCAAAGGTAAAATTGAAGATTTTTGATTTGATTATGGAGAAAAATGAGCATTAATGCCATATTTATATTTAGTGGTTTTTCTTAGTTGCCAGGATAATATGGTATGAACTGATTCAGTCTTGTATTATTTACTGTGGAAAAGCTCCCAGGGGAAGGAGGTATGTATGCTCAGTGTCTGCTGTAAGGGAAGAGCCACCTGTGCTGAATATATATATGGGACAAATCATTGGCATTTTTATTCTTATAATATTATTTAAATAATTGTAGAAAGTATGATATAAATTTAGGATAATAAATTATCCTAGCTTTTAAAATATAGCTAAAATCATACACCTACCTAAAAGTTTTTTAATTTTTGTATTTATGTTTGAACCATCAGAACAAGATTTGGCAGACACACAGCTTTCTGTGGATCAGAGTGTCACTCTGCAATTTGACTTTCACTTTGAATCTCTTTCCATTGTTCTTTATAACAATGATACCAACCAGGTATGTACTAACTTTCTGTATTTAGAAGTAAATCCTTAGCTCTTCATTGAATTTGGAATATTGGCATTTTTTGATGTTTATTCATAAAAATTAATATGTCTATGAAATTCTGTTTGGACTACAGAACATACATTGGTCTTGCTCTCTGGCTTCACTTTGTTGGTGTTGTTAATACTACTAGGCAAAGGCAATTTTTTTATTTTGTTCTAAGTAACGTTAGCACTAAAACACTTAAATCCATCACTAATAGAAGAATCTTATATATGAGGAACTAATTTTATGCACAGTTTTATTATATAGCTTGATACATAAGTATAACTATTTAAGGAGAATAACTTAGTAGTGGCTTTGGAACCTTAGAGGAATATTTTTTAAATTTATCATTATGATATAGTGTGAGCATTAGCTATGTTTTTATTGAATAAATTTTATGTGTAGTAGTTATGTGTTCAGGATACTCATTAATGAATTGAAGAACCAAGGTCCAATCTCATAATTATTTGAATTAAGTAATGTATCAGTGGTATTTTAGAAAGCTATTTTTTTTATTATATAGTGTCTTTTTTAAAAAAATTAACCTTTATTGTTGAAAGTGTTACAAATGTCCCCTTTGTTTTTTTTTCTCATTGACCTCCTCCACCCTTTATCAACTCCTTGCAGGCCTTAGATAGTATCTTTTAATAAATATTTTTGGTTATATAAATCATGTCATATAATAGTCATAATACATATGCCATTTGATAATACCTATGTTATATTGATTAATACCCATAATATATTCTAATTATGGGCTTTATATCTGTTGTTAACGTCCACCTATATGTTATCTTATATTTTATATTATTTTCTAAAAATTATGCAATATTCGTACATTGTTACTGTTAAATCTTGACTACTATCTGTCATTTGTACAACAAACTGCCTTAATTTCTAATGTCTAATGTTAATTAGAAGATCAGAAAATTACCTTCTGGAAAATTAATAGTTAAATATGTTCTTCATTTCACTTAAGGTACCATCATTCCACTGATTGCCCAGTTTTAAAATCTGTATCTTCGTTTATTTCCTTCTTTGTTGATTTTTATTCATTTAGACACTCATTACTATCAGTTTTTTCTTTGATTGAACCTTTGTCCTTTCCTGGCAGTTCTCACTGCTGCTTTATTTGAAAAATCTTAGCTCACAATTATAGTACCACAAAGGCTTCCTTGTTTGTTATTCTTTTTATCCATCCTAGATATTGGCACATGTTCAGCTTCCTAAATGATTTTTATGCCATTTACAACTTCCCAGTGTTATGTGAGTTTTGTATTACTAAAAAAGATTCAGTGGTTCCAAGTTGTCTACAGCAATATCTATACCACAAACATAAGTATATTGTGATCAGTAGATGTGTCACAGGCCATTTCTGTTAATAGCTACAAATCAGTAGTTTGTACCCTGGCCTGGTGGCTCAGTTGGTTTTGGAGTGTCGTCCCTTACACCAAAGGGTTGCGGGTTTGATTTTCAGTCAGGGCACATGCCTAGGTTGTGGCGTGTGTGGGAGGCAGTTGATCCATGTTTCTTCTCTCTCTCTCTTTTTCTTTCTTCTTCTCTCTCTAAATAGCAACAAAAATATATCCTCAGGCTAGGGTTAAACACAAACAAACATGCACAAATCAGGAGTTTGCAAATTATTTACATTTTGTAAAAAATATATTTTTTATTGATTTCAGAGAGGAAGGGAGAGGGAGAAAGAGATAGAAACATCAGTGATGACAGAGAATCATTGATTGGCTGCCTCCCGCACACCCCCAGCTAGGGATCGAGCCTGCAACCCAGACGTGTGCCCTTGACCAGAATCGAACCTGGGGCCCTTCAGTCCACAGTCTGACACTCTATCCACTGAACCAAACCAGCCAGGGATATTTACATTTTTATAAATTAAAGTCATTCCATGTTTGCTAATAATAATATCATTCTGACCCACATGCATGCAATGTACTCTCTTAAGTGAAAGATGTGGAGTTATAACGTGTGCCCAGAATTGCACATCACCGGTACCCCTCATATGAATGTCATGGTCTGTTAGTGAGCTATCAGGACTAAAATTTTTTAATTAATTGACTTTTTTTCTTTGGTTGTTTGGTTGGATTTTGTTCTTTTAAAGTCTGGGCATACCTACAGAATTTGGAACTATGTGTTTGGTGACATAAAGATTGAGGTCCTTTTTCCTATACAAACAATTTTAAATCTTTAGGATTTGAGACCTTGATTAGGCCTCTATATTTCTCTCCAGTCCTCATTCCCTAGCATTCTTTAATTGGACTATTCAAGCCTAAGCAGCCTGTATCTTGTGCCTTCAGAGCATCTTGAATTGTTTGTTCATGTTTTCTCCCTCTCTAGATTGTCTTCTACACTTCTTAGCCTGTCTAATCCCACTCAGTTTCTGAGGCTCAGTTACGTTCTCACCTTCTTCATGAATTTTTCCTGGCCCACACTGACCTCTTTGACCCTCTGAGCTTTTGCTGTTTAGTCTTACCTAATCACTTCATGTCCTTTGTGGAAAATGGGAGAATATAAATATGAACAAATAAATGACTACATGTCTTTTTCTTTTTTTCATTTACAACTTACAATATCTCTTTGTGATGTTTGTTGCAATGTATTTTTGTTTTTTTTTCTTTTCAATTAGGGTATAAGCTCACTAGCTCACCTGTCATGCCTTATCCTTTCTCGTAAACCTCTTAATTCCGATCATGGTGTTTTTTACGGAAGAGCTTATTAAATATTTATTAGTAAGAATGATTGATTGACAAAAATATCTTCTGATTATTTTTATTTGCCACGAACTGATAAGTTTTTAATAGTTAATAAGTTATTAACTATTGTTGAAGATCAGCACATATATATGTATTTATTTGCATGTACATATACACTCACGAACGAATATTATTCACTGTTCTGTTTTTTTGTGTTTCAACACCTGTTCTTTTAAAATTTATAATATTGATTTGCCTTTAATTTCTTAATTAAAAATATGTTTATAAGTAATTACATAATACTTAAAAATAATTGATTCTTTTGCTTGAAATATACCGCAGGAATCCAAACTTTCATTTCATAATGACAGTTTCCGCCTTGGTGAACTCAGACTACATTTTATGGCCTCCTCAGGGAAGATGTTTAAGGATAGTTCCATGAATGTGGGCATTAAACTTAAGACATGTACCCTTGATGATCTCAGAGAAGGCATTGAGAGAGCAACATCAAGGTTTGTCATTTCCGAATTTGCTGTACATTATTTAAGGCTGACATTACACCTGGCATTGTTACCAGGTATTGATTGCTAGGCTTGGGATGATCGAAAGAGGTCTTTGGTCATATTGCAACTTGAAGAGTATCAAGAAGTAGTGCTGACATCAAATTCAATTGCTTTAAAGTTTGAATTAAAGGCAAGTTTAATAATAAAAATGGAATATTCTTAAAAGTAGGAACCAGGAGAATATAAGAATTTTAATAGTTTAATCCACATGGGGTGGCCCATTGGTAATGTATTTTTCTAAATTGTTCCCAATAGGCAGAATCTTTTTTAAAAGCCTTAAAATTATATATAAACTTTCTTTGTCTTATTTATTTTGTCTATAAACAGTTCTGTGAAATTTCTCTTAAAGTTTTAATAGAAGTGGAATCCCTAGCATTTTTATATTACCAACACATTTTTGAAAGATTAACATATTAGCCTTCTATAGAGTGAGGAATGTGTAACTTTAAATAGACTAATGATATTTTTATTTCTTTCCCAAATAATGAGACACAATATTTTTGTCCTTAAATTTTTTTTGAAAAACCAAATAAAACAAACAACAACAACAACAATAAACTGTGCTGCTACCTAAAATCAGACTCATACTGGATACTTCTGAGCCCTTTGTTTTTCTAAGAGATGAATAAATGAGAAAATAATGCTGCCATCCATCCAGCTTTCCGTTTTCACATTTCATATTTGAGGTGGCTGTCCACAGCTACCTAGCCAGTGGTGATTAAAGGCCATCATCTTTTTGGTAGTCTGCTCTTTCCAGCATATGTCCTGTTTGGGAATTATCATTGCAGTCAATTGATGAACACTGGCTGATTTGAATTATATTGAATATTTTTGGACTCAACTTGTATAGGATGATTTTTGGAGATGAGGAGGTTTTATTTTGGTAAATAATCTTAAAGAGGTGTCCTTTAAATTTTGTGGGACCACATTAATGTGTTTAGTTAGTTGTTGAAATTTCTTCCAACAGTCATTGTTTTTCTAGTATTGCATTATAATGATAAAATATCTTGTAATTGCCCAATAATTTGAATCTTGCTGTAGAGATAAGGAGACCATGTTTTGAATGCTCATTAGCTAATTAGACTCTAGTTAATAGTGGTCTTTCTTTTTTCTGTTCAGATGAGAAAGAAAGATTAAGATATATATATATATATATTTATGAAATATATAAAATACATATATATATGAATTTTTCATCTTTTTAATTATTCTAGCAGGAACAAAATAATGAATGTTTTTTTTTTTCAGAATGATTGATAGGAAGAACGACCAAGATAACAACAGTTCTATGATTGATATAAGTTACAAACAAGGCAAAGATGGAAGAAGTCATCTTGATGCTGTTCTTGACAAGCTGTATGTATGTGCCAGTGTGGAATTTCTGATGACTGTGGCAGATTTCTTTATCAAAGCGATGCCTCAGAGTCCAGAAAATATGGCAAAAGAAGTACAGATTCCACTGCGACAGACTTCTACAGCAAAACTCAAGATAGAAAAAGGTTAGCGGAGCCTCTGTCATAGATGACAGCTTGTATATTTTAACAAAAAATGCAAGTAAGCAAAAAGTGGAAACTAAGAATGTAAAATTATTCTTTAAATTTAAACATATTTTATAGAAAAATTTTAATAAGCATAGATTTATATGATTAGGAGCCAGGAAACTATTGCTCCCAACTCTGCATTACATTTCTTTACTTACTCAGAAATAGAGTGAGCAAGTTAATCTGTGTCTGTGGTTCCCCTCCTTATAGAAGGGAACTCTTTTATTCAAAGAAAATATTAGGAAGAAGTATAACATATTGAAGAGCAATTGAACATATAAAAACAGAAGGTGGGGTATTGGAAGACAGCATGATGCCCCTGGACATCACCTTAGATCCTTCAACTCACTGGAATGCTTGCAAATGTCTAGTCTGTGTACACTGAAGTCACTTACTGCTGACTTACTGCTGTATTAATTCTATATTCCAGCATTACCAATACATCAGTCATTTCTATGTTACGTTATAATTATCTGAGGTCAGGTATTTTTCTCTCTAATGTATAACTCAGTAAGATTGGAAATTACCATTTACTGGCAAAGTCAGAATTTTATTTTTTCACTTACCTTTAGTAAACAGTAATCATCTATCCTAATAAAAGGGTAATATGCTAATTAGACCGGGTCAACCAGCCATCTTCTGGACATCCAACTTCCTTCCGGACAAAGCCATGGTGGTGGGGCCAAGGCAGAGGCAGTTAGGGGCGATCAGACTGGCAGGGGAGAGCCGATGGCGGGAGATCAGGCCGGCAGGGGAGGGCAGCTAGGGGCGATGAGGCAGGCAGGCAGATGAGCGGTTAGAAGCCAGCAGTCCCAGATTGTGAGAGGGGTGTCTGATCGCCTGTGGGATTCTGCCTAAACCGGCGATTGGTCATCCCCCAAGGGGTCCCCAATTGGAGAGGGTGTAGGCTGGGCTGAGGGAACCCCCTCTTCCCCTGTGCACGAATTTCGTGCACCGGGCCACTAGTATCTAATATCTTTGTATTCATGTGTACATTTATTACATTTATTCTATAGATTGTATGACACTATGTACTATATGGCAAAAAATCAATTAAATAGATATAATGGTCTATTTTATCATGATCTCTTATCCTCTTTGTGATATTTGCTTCTCCTGTTTCCCCTCCTTGCCCCAGAAACATAACCAAATAATACACATTTATGTGTATATACGTGTACACACCTTAAGTCTGACATAAATAAGTTCAAAGCAAGGTTATCCCTGCTAGGTCAAAATGGGAATGGTCTTCTGATGACAGGGATCAGCTTCCATTATCCTGCTCAATTAGCATTTGTTAATGATCATTATTAGTATGTATCAGTCATTTATTAATATTGTTAACTTCACCATATGCATTAAAGCAGGATATTAGAAACAACTTAGCATAACTAGATAGCATGTATTCAAGCAACAAGATTTACTTTACTACAACTTTTCTGGTTCCTATTATTGTTTCTTCAGATGACTCTGTGAGACCAAATATGACTTTAAAGGCCAGGGTCACAGATCCAGAAGTGGTATTTGTTGCCAACCTGACAAAGGCAGATGCTCCTGCTCTGACAGCCTCATTCCAGTGTGACCTCTCTCTGTCAACATCCAAACTCGAACAGATGATGGAGGCTTCTGTGAGAGACCTTAAAGTGCTTGCTTGCCCTTTTCTCAGAGAAAAGAGAGGAAAAAACATTACCACAGTAAGAATTACCATCTCTCTATATATGTATATATAAAAGCCTAATATGCAAATTGTCCCCATGGGAGTTGGACTGGGAGACCGATCGCTCGCTATGACATGCACTGACCACTAGAGGGTGGTGCGGAATGAAGGAAGGCCCCAGCCAGCAGTTGGCAGCCAGGAAAGGGAATCCCCGGCCAGTGGCCAGCAGCCGGGGAAGGGAGGCCCCAGTAGGCAGCCAGCAGCTGGGGAAGGGAGGCCCCGGCCTGCAGCTGGAAGGCCCCAATCGGTCCTGATTGCCGGCCAGGCCTAGGGACCCTGCCCGTGCATGGATTTTGTGCACCGGGCCTCTAGTATATTATAAGCTTAGATTGAAGAATGCAGAAGAATGGCAGAAATGGTTGATTCATAGAATCCTAGAATGTGAGAATTCTGCAGGACTTTAGAGATTATTTACTGACAAATTTGAGGTTTTACAGACAAGGATGTTAAATTCCAAAGATGTTAAATGATTTAGCCATGGCTGCTAGTGACAGAACTGGTACTACCTCCAGTCTGGTTTTTTTCATTATGTCATCTTTTGAACTGTACTTGAATTTTAGTACAAATCAATGTGCCTTTTCAGCTGTTTCTTTTTTCACCGAAGTATATCCAATGAATGAATGAATGAGTACTAAAATCTTGAGGTTTATAACAAAAAAAATCAGTTAGACTTATATGACCAAAAGATGTATTTTGCTGTATTAAAAGTTATATTCAATTATATCAGTGGTTCTCAACCTTCTGGTCCTTTAAAAACAGTTCCTCATGTTGTGACCCAACCATAAAATTATTTTCGTTGCTACTTCATAACTGTAATGTTGCTACTATTATGAATTGTAATGTAAATATCTGATATGCAGGATGGTCTTAGGCAACCCCTGTGAAAGGGTCGTTCTACTGCCAAAGGGGTCGCGACCCACAGGTTGAGAACCACTGAATTATGTTTTCACATTGTTGTTGAAAAATATTATTTTAGTTAAATAATTCATCATACTGATTTTTAAATCTTAAATTGATAATTTTATGTTATGTGACCCATTTGTAATGTTTTAAAGTAAAAATTTCTGTAGGCAAAGTGACTTTCATAAAGAAATGCAGTGTTAGGTTTAGTCTGTATTTTATCATGAAACATTCTTTAGTGCGATCATCTTCTTTTGATATTTCACAGAAAGCTCTATTAATCACTCATTAAATGCTCATCCTAATGTTTTGAAAGTTTATGTAGTACCAATTCCCCCATTCAATTCAGGTGCAAGGTTATTTTATTTATTTTGTTAATGATATATGAGAATATAGGCTTCCTGGTTTTAGTAAATCAAGATTTGAAATTTATTCTAATAAGGACCTTATTATATTCAAGACTGACCTTTTAGTAAGCAATCTGGAAACTATTTACTTACCATAGTCTTTTTTAAAGGTATTAACAGAACTATTTGTTGAAAGAAACAATTTCAAGTGATTTAGTGGTCATAAAAGTTATGATGACATAATTTCATTTCCTCATGTACCTCTTTGCAAATGTCAGATCTTATCATCATCTTTAGCTCATTTTAATAGATATCTTAAAAGTAGATTTTACAGTGGGCATCACTTAAAAGATATTTAAGAAAAGGAAACATTTCAATTTCTAATAATAAATGTACATCATTAGTTAAGAATTTGGCATAAAGAAATTGATCAGAACTCTTTTAAATTTAAATTCTTTAATGTAAGTTCTTTAACAATGTTCATAAACTTGCATTACTTTAGAAGAGCTCTCATAAGAGCTTCTCAGCTAATTTGCCTTTTTGCTATTAGTAGTAGGCTGTAATTAAAAATGTCAAGTTAAGTAAGATGCTCTTCTGTGTTGCCTATATAACAGTTCTATTACTAAGAAAATGTGATTTTCATTTATTTGTCTCTAGGTCTTACAGCCCTGTTCTCTATTTATGGAAAAATGTGCATGGGTTTCAGGAAAACAAAATATAAATATTGTAGTTGGAGAATTTATAATTAAGGTTAGTGCCTATTATCTTATTTGGTGAAAATTAATTATTTTTCTAACAATATCTTTTGATGTCTCGTAACTAGACCATTATGCTAGTCACATATTTGGTCATTAATAAATATCTCTAACATTAAAATACATTTTTTGCCCTGGCTGGGTTGCTCAGTTGGTTGGAGCCTCATCCCATGCATATACCAAAAAATTATAGGTTTGATTCCCCTTCAGGACACATACCTAGATTTTGGGTTCGATCCCTCGTCAGGGCGTGTACAGGAATCACCTGATCAATGTTTCTCTCTCACTCATTCCCTTCTTCTCTCTAAACATATCCTTAGGTGAGAATTTAAAAAAATTAATAAAATAAAATATATTTTTCTTTAATGCAGTTATTTTTTTCTACTTTCTTTGAAAAAGTACTTTCAAATACAGTGGGGCCTTGACTTACGAGTGTCCCGACTAACGAGTTTTTCGAGATACACGCGTCTTTCGGCCGATTTTTTGCTTTGAGTTGCGAGCTAAAATTCGGGTTACGAGCCAGCTTGAGATACCCCACCGCTAGTTGGTGCAGTGAACGTCACAGTGAACGCCACAACATCAGCCCAGCATCACGTGTCTCACTCGTTCACTTTAATGATTTGACATGTGAGTAATTTGAGTTATGAGCTCTGTCACGGAACGAATTAAACTTGTATGTCAAGGCCCCACTGTATCTACAAATGATCAGGATAGTTTTTATCAATTGTTTTTTTATGTGCATGTTGGGGAGATTAGGTTTGGAGAGAGAGCAGAGATGGGATGGTAAGAGAAAGGAAGAAAGGATAGAAAAATGAGGTTTTTTATTTCTTTGTAGTGGTTATTTTTAGGCTTTTTAAATATAATTTGATTGAATGCAATAATTATGTGATTGTTTTATTTGGCTTATGAAATATTTGTAATGACAAATGTATGCTAGAAATAAATTTTTAGTTTTTTAAAAAATATCTCTTACATTTAAAGCAGTAGAAAAGCAGTCTCTTTTCTCCATTGGCATTCATATTCTTTAAGTATGACTTCATGACCAGTTATAAAAGGAAGATATAGAATAATTTCCAACATCTATTTCTCTCTCTGTCCAAAGGACACAAAATTGAGGTGGCTAATACCAATTTTGCTAGTAACTTTACTATATAGGTAAATAAGCAATAGCAATTAAACCAAGGCTCAAACAAAAGTCATTTGAATTACTATATAAATAACAATGCAGTTTTTTTAATATTTTAAAATAACAGATAGTTTCCATTGTACTTTGTTAACAGATTTACTTTTTTAAAGGCTTAAAGTAGTAAATGAGGAGAAAACTGAATTTGCATGCACTTTGTCTAAGGCACCCAGGGGGATTGTCTTTCCATTTCTTTGTATATCAGTTTATTTATTTAGTCAACAAACATTTTTTGAACTCTTACTATGTGCAAAAAATCTCCTGTATTTGGGTGTTGGGGTATTTGGTCCCTGCCTTCACAAAAGTTAATGACATGAACGAGAAAGCAATAAATCAGTGACTCCAGCTTTCAGTGCTAGAGGCATGCACTAGCATCAGTGATGGCGAACCTATGACGTGTGTAGGAGGTGACACGTGAACTCATTTTTTTGGTTGATTTTTCTTTGTTAAATGGCATTTAAATATATAAAATAAATATCAAAAATATAAGTCTTTGTTTGACTATGGTTGCAAATATCAAAAAATTTCTATATGTGACACGGCAACAGAGTTAAGTTTGGGTTTTTCAAAATGCTGACATGCCAGACTCAAAAGGTTCGCCATCACTGCACTAGGTGCTGTGGGAGCACAGTCAGGGGTCCTCTGACGCAGACCAGGACATCTGGAAAGCTGTCTGCACGTGGGGCTACTTCAACTGAACTTTGAAAATCTGAGGGAGGTTAGATGGAGAGAGACAGGAGGGGTTATCCATGCAGAACTGACAGTATTCACAAAGGCAGAGGTGTGAAAAATCCTTTAAGGACTTAGAGATGTGCCCATATGGCTGGAGAGAATGGTATGATGGAATTGTAGGGTTGAGAGCACTAATTATAGGTGACATTAATAAGGTAATGAAAAAAAAAGAATTCAGTTGACAGGTAAGTTGGGAGCAGTGCATACTAGATCCTTCTTCTGGTGAATGAGTCATCTCTTTAGCATATTAAACAAGTAAGGGTTGTGAGAATGAACAATAAAAGAATCTATTTAACTTGTTTAACCCAGTATGGCTCAAACTTTGGGAAATCAGCCAATTGATTAGATCAGTGCTTTTCAGCCATTTTCATCTCATGGCACACAAACTAATTACTAAACGTCTGCAGCACATCAAAAAAAATATTTTTTTGCCAATCTGACAAAAAATAGGTATAACTTTGATTTATTCACACTGGATGGCTATTGTTGTATTGACTGTTGTCATTTTTTATTTGACAGCCTAAGGAAAAAGAGGTCAGTGCCCCTAACTAAGCAGTCAATTTTTACATGTTTTAAAAATTCTTACTGCACACCAGTTGAAAATTGCTGGATTAGATAGCTGGTCACAATGAACTTTGTGTCCTAAGCCAAAGAGAGTTTGAATTTTATTCTGAAAGTTATGGGAAACTGTTGAAGATTTTAAGCATAGTAATGACATGTCCAGATTTGGGTTTTAGAAAATCATGCTGGTGGAAGTGTGGAGGGTGAGCTGAGAGGGTGCTGACTGGATATAGAAGACGTCATTAGTGTAGAACTAAGGCTTACCAATAGAAATGAACAGGTGGGCAGAGGCACTATTCAAAGACAGTAAGAGGTAAAAGTTGCAAATTTTGGGGTAAGTGAAAGGGTATTCTAGTGATTCTCTGGCTTCCTGTTTCAATAAGACAAATGAAAACCATGTATAAATCTTTTAAAAATATATTTTTCATTTCAGAGAAGGAGAGAGGGAGATAGAAACATCAATGATGAGAGAGAATCATTGACCAGCTGCCTCAAGCCTGCAAACCTGGGCATGTGCCCTGACCGGGAATCAAACCATGACCTCCTGGTTCATAGGTTGACACTTAACCACTGAACAACACCGGCCGGGCACCATGTATAAATCTTGATGAGGATCACACATGTTGGTTTAGTTAATGTAACTGGTTGAAAATGAAAACTTCAATTACACTTCTGCATTTTTCTCGTTATATATCACTATTTTACTCTGAATTGATGAGTGTAACTAGGTTTTGACAATTGATGTATAACATTATTTAATTCCAGAGTAATCTGAGCAGAAATTATTGTTATGAGGTTAACTAACTTGACACATGATTTTGTGTGTGCTCTCTTATTTTCTTTAGTTAAGACTTTAGTATATTTAAATTTTTAATTAGTAACTTTTAAACTTCTGTATTTTGTATTAATTCTTCTCATCTGGGAAAGTTAATTCTAAATATTTTTCTGCTTTCTTTTTTAAAGATTTCACCCATAATTCTTAATACTGTGATGACAATCATGGCCGCTTTGTCTCCAAAGACAAAAGAAGATGAATTCAAAGATACATCTAAGGAAACAGGAAATCTTTGGGGTGTCAAATCTATTAGTGATTATAACTCTTGGTTTCTTGGTGTTGACATGGCAACAGAAATAACAGAAAATTTCAGAGGTGCTGAACAGCCATTGATAGAGGAAAATTGTGCTGTTGCTGTAGAGTCAGTTCAAGTTACCTTAGAATGTGGACTTGGTCATCAAACTGTACCTTTATTATTGGCGGAGTCAAAATTTTCAGGAAATATAAAAAATTGGACTTCCTTCATGGCTGCTTCTGCTGACATGACACTAGAGGTATGACCACATCATTTAGAATCTCCACAACCAACTTTTCAAAAGCACAATTACAAAACTAAGATGTGAGCATTTTTGGTTTGTGTATGGCCACAGCAAGTATATATATGAATTCTAATGTTTAATTTGCTGATGTGTGGTATTATTTACTTTGTTATTATCTTTTAAAGATTCTTTTGCTCAATAATTTGCTTAAAAATTTTTCTGCTTTCTTTTTTAAAGATTTAGAGTAAAGGAAATAAAGTAAAGGAAAATGCACCCTCTTTGTATATATTCTTTGTGTCTTTGTTAAAATGGCTTTTGACATATAACATTAATTAATATTTTTTCCTTCTGATTATAGAAATACGAAGTTAAAGTTGAAAGATGCATTATAATTCTGTGCCTTTTCAGGTTCACTATTACAATGAAACCCATGCTGTCTGGGAGCCACTGATTGAGAGAGTGGAGGGA